GTTGTGTATCTTTTTCTTCTACACTTTTTCCTTCCACTCAACTTTCTGTTAACATGCTTGGATACAGCACTCTGTGAACAGCCATCTTCTTTGGCAATGAATGTTTGTGGCTTACCCTCCTTGTGAAGGGTGTCAATGATTGTCTTCTGGACAACTGTCAGATCAGCAGTCTTCCCTATGATTGTGTAGCCTAGTGAACCAAACTGAGAGATTATTTTGAAGGCTCAGGAAACCTTTGCGGGTGTTTTGAGTTGATTAGCTGATTGTCATGTCACCATATTCTAATTTGTTGGTGGGTTTTTGTTAAATGTGAGCCAAAATCATCACAATTAAAAGAACCAAAAACTTAAACTACTTCAGTCTGTGTGCATTGAATTTATTTAATACACGAGTTTCACAATTTGAGTTGAATTACTGAAATAAATGAACTTTTCCACGACATTCTAATTTATTGAGATGCACCTATAGTTTATATTTAGTCATCTACATTGAAATTATATATGAAAAATTGATAATTGCAGTATGTAAAAACCATTAACTGACACAGTGGCATGCTTAATACTCTCTAATGAGGGAATGATTGTGGATTCAGTGAGACGTCATTTAGAGAAGTGCAGTCTCGCCTTCTTCCTTGAGTTGTGTGACTAAAAGGCCTGACCTCCTACATGACGATCTGTCACGCTTTCATTAACACACCTCTTCTGTGGCCATGGTAACAGGCCCAGATGGCCCAGCAGCTGCATGAGCGCATCCAGTCTTCCAGCATGGACATGAAGCTGGACGCTCTGAAGGATCTGGCCAACTCTTCACGAGACATCACCTTTGCTCAGGAGTTCATTAACCTCGACGGCATCTCACTGCTCACACAGATGGTGGAAAGTGGCACAGAGTAAGTCACTGTGTTTGTTCCTCTGGCTGCTTTTCCTTCTATATCTCTGTTTACATTACAGAGCTCTTGATATTCACTCATTTATGTGTCCTCTTAGCAGGGCTTAAGCAATTCAAACCCGAATAAAGGCACAGTCAGTGACTTGCACTGTATTCTGTGATGAAGCCTATTCAGATTTCTCAGTGATTTTCAATAGGGGTCTTCAAATCCCAATAGACATAATCTACCATTCAAAAGTTTATTTTTTTTAAACAAGAATTTTCTACTTTTATTCAGCAAACATTTATAAGGTTATAGAATATTTCTATGTAAATAAATGCTGTTCTTTTGAACTTTTTATTCATCAATAATCCTTAAAAAAATATGATAGTTTCCACAAAAAAGATTAAGCGGCACAACTGTTTTCGACATTGGTAATAAGAAATATTTCTTGAGTAGCAAATCAGAATATTAGAATGATTACTGAAGGATCATGTGACACTGAAGACTGAAGTATTCTCAGAGAGAACAACAGCAAAACAATTTGGCATCAATACTACATAGTGCCCCCCCCCCCCACCACCCCCCACCCTGGCCTAAAACACAAAGCAAAACAACACAACACAATGTCTCCTTAATCACAACCCAACATTGTGGCTTCAAAGCCAACACAACAAAGGGCAAGTGTCCTCAATCACAACACAAATAACAATGTGCCCTGAAATACAAAACGTGCTTTTAATCACATCAAAACACAACAGTGGGCCCACAAACACAACGAAACACAACTGTCCTTAAACACCTAGATGTCCTTAAATACAACATGCTCAAGAAACAACACTGAGGGCAAATAGTTGTGTTGTTTTGAGGCCAGTGTTATGTTGTGTCTGACAGCATGTGCTGTTGTGTTTGATCACACTTGTGTTTTGTTGTGTTTGGAGCCACAGTGTTGTGTTGTGATTTAAAACAACAGCACTTGTTGTGATTGAGGACTCTTTGTAGTGTTTTTTTTTATGCTGATATCAAAGCACAAACAATGCACCTTCCAATACAACACAACTCAATCACATCAGAGATGCACCATCCAAATAAACGGCAGATATTTTATAACATACACAGGTCTATTAATAATAAATGAAGTGTATACAATTCACTCCCTCCTCCAGTCTCCTCTGTGATATAAAGCAGCCGTGTGGCTTGACCATCTCCGTTGAAGGTTAAAGCGGAGATAGACTATCTGCTGAGCTGGCGCTTTTTCAACTTCTATACGGACGGACCCATGAGGAGGCCGAGCTCTGCCAGCAGACACAAACCGCCTTAGTAACGAGACAGAAACGCAGAAACGTGGAGGGAGAAAACTGGGACTGGAGAAACACACTTAGAGGCTGAGTCAAGGAATAATAATGCATTAAAGAAACACAAAGGAGCTAGGAGGATACAGTAGATACACTTTCAAGACAGTTAGAGAGAAGAAAGACAAGGTTGTCTATCAAACTGAATGTTTCCCCTCCGGCTGGTCAACTTCACAGACTAGTGCTTTTGTTTTCCTTTACATGCTAACTTAATTATGCCTGTCCTGCTTCATTTGTCAAGGTCGTACTACTCCGCTGACTCTTTTCACACTTCACGTAGTTGTGGAAGAATATTTATCTGAATTGCCTTATGCATTAATTTTCTTGTATAAGCATAAGGGATTTCCCTCTGGTGCTTTGCCGGTTGAGTGAAATTATTCTGCCGTTGGGATGTTGGTTTTACTTCACTGAATCAATAGCTGCGTTTTTACTTATCGGAGCTCTGCGCCGCCAGCCGAGGTGTTTCAACATTTCGGTACACTGGAGAGCTGACCATGGAAATCATTTCCATGGGTATGTTTTATATAAAGCAGCTCTGTGTCAACAGCTCCCGACCTCAAAGAGCCTATGTGTGGGTTTCTATGCAGTCCTTTCATACCGTTAAAAATCCAAGTGGACACGCACATGCACATAAATACACACTGTCTCACATTCTTGCCGTGAATTCCTGTTAGCCGCTGACCAGGCGATGATTATTCAAAAGACTTAAGCATGACGGCACTCTTGAGGGTATGGTGCGAGTATTCTTACATCATGGGGTATGAATGTTGCCAGCTTGAGGGTTGAATAGTTAGTGATGTAGTAGCTCCCTCTAATGGTCATGTGCTACTGTAGCACTCTGTTTGAGGTTGATGATAAGTTAAAAGTGCAAAAAGTAACTGTATAAAACTATTGATTGCCAGAGAAATATAAATAAAAAATTACTTAAGATACATTAAGCTTGTACTATTACTGAATGTTTATAATGTTAAAATGTTATATTTTTCAGACATACAGCAGACCAGCTGATTATTAAAGGGGTCCTATTATGCTCTTTTACAATGTCTTGAATTTGTTTTGGGGGTGTACTAGAACATGCTCTCATGCTTGGTGGTTAAAAAAACGCATTATTTTTTACATAATTTACCATAGGTGCGGGAAGTGGGGGTGCTGAGTGTGCTGCAGTACCCCCTGTTTTTTTTCTGTGGGCAACTGTTTAACGTAGGATAAAGCTCTTATCTGGGCTTCATTAATGGCTAATTCACTCTGTGCCAGTGTGCCCATCGTGAATTATCGTACATTAGACACAATATTTCAGGAAGGTGAAATTTTTTCCAGAGTACTGCTGAAACGTGAGCCATTTTGCCTTTGTTTTCCAGCATTTTTCCATTTCAGCAACAAAATGGAAACCTTTTACTGGTGTTCTCACTTCATGCACTTTATTTGTGTGAAAGAATCAGACACAAGCCTTGCTAAACAAAGACGCCTACACAGAAAATAAATAGCTAAAGTTTGGCTCACTGGCATTACTTTGCTCATGAGGAAATGTGTTATCACAATGTGATAATTAGCCATCCTACATCGCATAAATTAGTTGGACCTTTGGTGTCCAGATTCACCTCTCGTGCATTTTCTCAATAAATATCATTAAAATAAGTGCTATTTTGCTGATGTTTGTATGATGTGGATTTCTAATTGAAGAATCAGTGGATATTAATATCAGTGCGGCTTATAACAGATACACTAATCCCTTGTTATTTTAAAGGTTCGATTCCACTATAGCTGCATCAATTTCTGCAATTTTTCAGATAAACTTAAAATGGTTGTAGAAGTGAAATATTTTGAAGAATGTTTTAACTGGTTTTGTCCATACAGTACAACATTTAACGCCATAAAATTTCATTGTATATATATAGACAACAGTTTTTTTGTCATTTCAGTATTTTTTTGTGTTGCACAAAAAGAAGAAAGTAATCCAGGTTTGGAATGACTTGAGGGTGAGTAAATCATGATAGATTTTTAATTTTGGAGTGAGTGAATAACATCTGAGTGAAATTATCAAATAAATAAATAAATAAATGAATGAATTAATTAATAAAAAGTAGGACCGGGACTTGGTTCAGGCCACTGGATGTTGATTGGATGCAGGAAGATTGTCGATTGTAAGGAAGGGTTTAAGTGGACTAAATTATTGAAGAAGTCCAGCATAAATTAATGGAGAAGTCTGTTGTTTCACTAGAAGGTCGAGTTGCAACATTTTAATTAAAAGTTATGAGGTCAAAATGTACAAAAATAAAATACATGCATGAATGAATCATTCACAGTGAGATTAACAACCTGTTTTCATAGGCACGGGAAGTGGGGGTGCTGAGGGTGCTGTAGCACCCCCTGTTTTTTTTCTGTGGGCAACTGTTTAACTGTTGGGAATAAAAAAAAAATCGGAGTGTCTATTTACACTAAAAGTGCAAATAGCCCGCCTTGTTGGCAGAGGCTATACTAACTCCACCCAATCGTGAGATTCAGTGGCGTAGATGGGAAAGCCAGCGTGTGTCAAATGGCGCTTTTCCACTGCCTGGTACGACTCGGCTCGGTACGGCTCAGTACGGCACGGCAAGGTACCAGGTACTGTACCCAGTGGAAAACCCCCCAAAAGTGACCCGTACGGAGCCGTACCGTGCCGTACCATGCAGTGGAAAAGCGCCAAAAGACTACTCCTTTTGACGCGATCGACGCGTGTTCGAATCTGCCTTTTAGCAAACTTTTTTTCTCCCTTTTCAAATGTCAAATCACATCAGAAAAGCATTTATTTTTAATAAAAATGAAGGAAATAATAAAAAAGTTGAAAATAAAGTATCGGGTAGGGTTAGGGTAGGGAGGGCTTTTGTCCCAATAAGGTGGCATCCATTTAATAATTTGAATTA